AACCGAGGAGGACATGAAGCAGGCGAAGAGAGAAATGCGTAGACTTGCTAGGGCTAGGAAGCGCGAAGCTCTGATGGAGGCGCTGCAGCTGGCACAAGAGGCTTTTCAAGCAGGAGATATACGAGCACACTACAAATTCATCCGCAGCATTGCCCCTAAAACGTACAGGCGCAAGCTCTGTCTGAAATCAGAGGATGGACGACTTATGTCATCAGAGGAAGAATGTGCCGCTCTTGCAAAATATGCCTCAAACCTGTTTGCTGCAGATGAGCCGATTGTGGCCCCGCCTCTGCTGCCGCTATCTGAAGAATGGTTTTCGCCAGATGCATGGGCGCTAGCTTTGCGCTCGCTGAGCAGCCACAAGGCGGTCCCCAAAGACTCCGCTAGCGTACTGTGCTGGAAGAATGAGACTACCGTCCTGGCGCCGGCCTTACATCAGATTGCAGTACGTACACTCTGTGCAGGGAACCCGTACATACCAGATGAATGGGTGCGAGTCCAGCTCGCCTGGCTTCCCAAACCGGGACGTGCACCCACGTCCCCACACCTACTGCGCACCATTGGATTAATGGGTCCTGACACAAAGGCGATGCTGCAGATCATCAAATGGCAAGCAAATCCATGGATACAGGCGGCACTTGCTTCGTGCCCGCAGTATGCGTACCGACAATTATCCTCAACGTATGATCCATTAATGCGGGCAAGTCTTCATTGCTCAAGCGTTAGAAAGACACTCGGGGAGTATGTCGACGATCATACTGCAAAAGTTCTTGGCCAGTCGGATCAAGAGCTCCTTGGAGGCATCATGCTGGGGATTGACCTAAGCAAAGCTTTCGATTGTCTACAGTATGGCGAAATACTGCAGTCTCTAAGAGCCACTGGCATGCCCGAGAACCTGTGTAGATTTCTGCTTCACATTCATGTTCGTACTACTTTGGTCATCGAACACTGTGGACACAGTCGCACGGTGCAGATGTTCCGCGGGCTACGTCAGGGATGTGGTATAGCGCCCGTGGTTTACGCATGCTGGACAATCAAGCTATGCAAGGACATTGATGCACGGCTTCAGCCGACCTCTGATGCCACTTGGACTCAGGACCACATGTCAATCTTCGCTGATGATAAGCA